AATTATGAAATTAATGTCCATGTAATTTATTTAGGCACAGTTAAAAAAAATATATATTTTATCAATCAAATAAAAATCTACATATTGTATCAGCCAGGATCGGAATGACACTTTGGCACATCTGTGTTTGTGCGCATCACTTGCATGTGTGCAAGACGAGTGACAGTCGGACATTGCAGTAGCATGTAGGCCTATATAATATGATAGAGAGCAGAATAATAACTACAGTTGAAGTCGGAAGTTTACATACACTCAGGTTGGAGTCATTAAAACTTGTTTTTCAACCACTCCACAAATTTCTTGTTAACAAACTGTAGTTTTGGCAAGTCGGTTAGGACATCTACTTTGTGCATGACACGTAATTTTTCCAACAATTCTAACACTTATAATTCACTGTATCACAATTCCAGTGGGTCAGAAGTTTACATACACTAAGTTGACGGTGCCTTTAAACAGCTTGGAAAATTCCAGAAAATGATGTCATGGCTTTAGAAGCTTCTGATAGGCTAATTGACATAATTTGAGTCAATTGGAGGTGTACCTGTGGATGTATTTCAAGGCCTACCTTCAAACTCATTGCCTCTTTGCTTGACATCATGGGAAAATCAAAAGAAATCAGCCAAGACCTCAGATAAAAAATTGTAGACCTCCACAAGTCTGGTTCATCCTTGGGAGCAATTTCCAAACGCCAGAAGGTACCACGTTCATCTGTACAAACACCATGGGACCACACAGCCGTCATACCGCTCAGGAAGGAGACACGTTCTGTCTCCTAGAGATGAACGTACTTTGGTGCGAAAAGTGCAAATCAATCCCAGAACAACAGCAAAGGACCTTGTGAAGATGCTGGAGGAAACAGGTACAAAAGTATCTATATCCACAGTAAAACAAGTCCTATATCGACATAACCTGAAAGGCCGTTCAGCAAGGAAGAAGCCACTGCTCCAAAACCGCCATAAAAAAACCAGACTACGGTTTGCAACTGCACATGGGGACAAAGATCTTACTTTTTGGAGAGATATCCTCTGGTCTGATGAAACAAAAATAGAACTGTTTGCACATAATGACCATTGTTATGTTTGGAGGAAAAAGGGGGTGGCTTGCAAGCCGAAGAACACCATCCCAACCGTGAAGCACGGGGGTGGCAGCATCATGCTGTGGGGGTGCTTTGCTGCAGGAGGGACTGGTGCACTTCACAAAATAGATGGCATCATGAGGAAGGAAAATTATGTGGATATATTGAAGCAACATCTCAAGACATCAGTCAGGAATTTAAAGCTTGGTTGCAAATGGACAATGACCCCAAGCATACTTCCTAAGTTGTGCCAAAATGGTTTAAGGACAACAAAGTCAAGGTATTGGAGTGGCCATCACAAAGCCCTGACCTCAATCCTATAGAAAATGTGTGGGCAGAATGCGAGCAAGGAGGCCTGCAAACCTGACTCAGTTACACCAGCTCTGTCAGGAGGAATGGGCCAAAATTCACCCAACTTATTGTGAGAAGCTTGTTGAAGGCTACCCGAAATGTTTGACCCAAGTTAAACAATTTAAAGGCAATGCTACCAAATACTAATTGAGTGTATGTAAACTTCTGACCCACTGGGAATGTGATGAAAGAAATAAAAGCTGAAATAAATCATTCACTCTACTATTATTCTGACATTTCACATTCTTCAAATAAAGTGGTGATCCTAACTGACCTAAGACAGGGAATTTTTACTAGGATTAAATGTCAGGAATTGTGAAAAACTGAGTTTAAATGTATTTGGCTAAAGTGTATGTAAACTTCCGACTTCAACTGTAGGTAGCCAATTCAAAACATACTGTGTCTTGTACCCTGTAGTTAACTGTTGAGCTATTATTAGCGTGTATTAATATTTTCGTCATGTCCCAAAAAACTTTCCACCGACACGCACGAATAAGGCCATACAAACTTGATTCACTTTTTAACGATTCATTTAAACAATTATTTTTAATGAAACGAAAGATTCACTTTGTATTAATTGTGATTCGGGTCAATCTTGGTGAATTGAATCATGTGAATCAAAACAATAATTAGGTGTACATGCAAAGCAATGCACAACTCTAGATTTCTTACATACTCATATTATTATTATTGATTGGTTGTAAATAGGAAGCTACTATTGTAGATAGGAGAGGGTGAACTATTTTCATAACTTTTGGGAATTCTGGGCCTCTTCTCTGAGTTGGTTTGACATCCAGGCAAATTGGGGCATTGTGGGTATTTTACATTTTAGTCATTTAGCAGACGCTCTTATCCAGAGCGACTTACAGTTAGTGAGTGCATACATTTTTCATACTGGCCCCCCGTGGGAATCAAACCCACAACCCTGACGTTGCAAGCGCCATGCTCTACCAACTGAGCTACAGTTGCATTACATGTTGCATTACTCAGATTGGTTGAACTTTCCCACTGAAACATACCAATCATTCTTACATTGTAGCAGAGGTGCTGAGTTTTTCAGACAATTTTTCTGTTCAATAGGCTACACCATGTACAGCTAATGTAACCTACCAAAAGAAAAATCTGTTTTTGTAAAATGTTTGTGTCCGTGCTGTTCATTTATTATGTTAGTGTCTCACAGAATTCCTTTGGTCACCTTTTTGTAGTTGTAGCTTATTTCTGACTTACCCAGGGTGTTGAACCTTTTATTTAATTTTTTAAGTTTGCTGGTTATTTAGCAATGTCCAACATTTTATGGGTCGCATTTTTGCAGCAATGCTAGTGGAACCTGAACCAGCTAGTGGTGCATACAAAAGCATGGGGCAAATGAAGGAAAGAAGCTATTTTATTTCAAAAGCACCGAAGACAAAAAAAAAAACTACCTCTGTCATGTACTGAGCAAGGAGACCAACTGATATTTTAATTTGTATGCCATTTGGGATGGTCAGTCAATGTTCTCACTTTCAATATCAAGAATAGTCTGTTCATAGTCTTGTCAACAATGAGCACTTTTGTATACTGTGAGGTTTTTAACAGTTTATATTATTTACAGTATAGTGTCCTTTAAATGCTGTGAGAATTGGTTTGATACCAAGGCAATTTGACAAACCCTGTCTAATCATATGATACTGAATTTAATAGAAAAATTAGTCAACAGCGGTAAAATATAATTCATACTGATTAAGCCTACATTACATTTAGCTTGTTTCTTATCACACACAGCATGCCACATACTGTACATTGGGTCACTCCAGATGCATCATGGGAAAAATACTGAATGAAAACTGTGCAACTTGAGGATATCAACATACAACGCCCACATTTGTCAACAGGGTTGTCTATTTACAGGTAAGATTAGTGTTTTTATAGAGCTCATTTAAATACTTATTTCACCATTCCCTCGACTACAGCAGTTGCCAATTCTCTCCAACTCTTAAAAACATCCATTGAATTTATATTTGTAAGAGAGAACAGTTTGTGCACAGTATAAAAATAAAAGGAACATCTATTTCACTGAAGCAGTAGCGATGGAATGACAAGCAAATTGTGCCCCAGTCATTACCAGAGAGAGATGAGAAATAAAAAAAAAAAATTACAGAGGGAGGGAAATTATTGTCTTCTTTGTTGTGAAATTGTCACTGTCGGTGCATTGTCTAGGTGTAACATGGACTGATGAGGAAAAGTAAACGGGTAGCAAAATGCTTTTCTACCACACTCTAGAGGCTGTACATACCAGGGTACTGACCTAAAACAACTAACGTTCTGATTATGGCTACAGTGCATATAGTCACCTTAGTATTTACATACCAATATAATGCGTCTAACATGCATTTGCAAAGACATATATTTGAATACCTTTTGCCTCTCGTAGTTGTTGACCTAGCGTTCAAGATTTCAGTGAAGTTTCAAATTATTCATCATTCCCACCACAATCCGTGTCATTCCACCCTTTTCCAACTCATGATACATTTATATTGCATGTTGCATGACAGCACAACGGTTCAGTTATGATGGTACATTTGAGAGAAGACACTGATTATAGTGTGTCCGCAATTCAGTAGTGTAAGCCTCTAGGACTGCTCAAGCAACTGCTCAGCATTTAATCTCTATGAATCTCTATGTAATAGTTGGCTCAAACTCATACAGCATCAGTACACCGACGAACCTCGCCCTTGTTCGCTTCGCAGGTCTTAGTTGGTGTTGAAATCAATGACGTACTTCGACAATTAGAGCTTTGTGCGGCAGGAACACAGAATCAATATTAATTCATGCTGATGTCAAACATGAGCTGCTGTTATTTAAATACAATTAAATAAGGTGCACTTTTCCAAACGTTCTAAAAGACAGTCAGTGTGGCAGTAGCAGTTTCTAGTCGTTGGCTGCAGCATATTGAACTGATGCTCAGTATCACAGAACATAAATACATAAAGATGGTAACTGCTTAGATCCACGGTCCTTAAACTAGTAGTCTGTGTTCAGTCCCATGTAGTTCAATGTTCATTAGGCTTCGCAATGGAATTTTTAAAAAGTTGTTTCGCAACGGGAAATGAACATTTCGTATTGGACAAAGTCCAGGTAGTCCCTCCCTGTTTCAGATTGTTTTTCGCCTAATGAACCCTGTTCTTCTTCATTTTACAGAAAAGTACCTAACTTCCTTCTGTCTGTCAGATAAATGTCTTGTAAACACATCAACGCCACTAGCTTCTGCGAAGGCGAACGAGTTTGCGGTTGTTAAATTTACTCTAATCCTGGAAACCATGATGATGAGTGATTGACAGCAGCGGCCCACCATTGTCAGCTTCCATGATTCCCGCTCTCTTCCTTAATAGGCTGAGGAGGAGTCAGAGGACAAGACAGGTAGCAGACTCCATCACTCACTTAGCAGGGTGACACAACGTTGACAGGCCATCATGGACAACTGTGGTGGGAAGAAAATAAATACATGTATAGGAGGAGAAAACTCAACTGTAAAATGTTCACGTAAATCATAATTTGAGAGGATGCGGTACTCACTGTGGGGAGTGTAGGGGAGCTGCTACACCAGCCCGTCGTACAGCGATAGAGCCTGGACGATGGAGGGGTCTGCTTTGGAGCCCTCCTGGAATTCCTGCAGGGTCAACATTCCGTCTGCGTTCTGAAAAACGACAAATCCTCACATTTTAATAATACTTTATTTAAATCACATATTACTGAATGGATAATGGCTGGATTGCTGTTCAATCTTTAAACCAGTAGAGGGCACTCTTCATCAGACCTAAGTCTCAGCATAATGTATAGCCTATTTACTGCACCCTTATACAACCGCATCAGTCAGCGTTGGTCTGGCCCAGTTCCGAATGCCTCTTGAGAGAGTATCTAACTCTCCATTGGGTTTGATAAGGAGTCTATCTGACAAAAAGCCTCAGGGCTTGGGCTAGCTAGTGCCTCCTTGAGGGGGGCATCAGAGTTTTCCGACTGAAAACAGGCCTTCTAAGTGAGCAGTGCCAGCCGCACAGGGCACATGTATCCTACTGAGCAGGCTAAGAAGATACATTGGAGCCGTTGGCCTATATTTCCCATGCATTAGACAGGTGTGTGTGTGTGTGATGGGTTTACTCTACCTTGTCCATCATGGCAAAGATTCGGTCCACTCTCTTCTCTGGTGTGTTTTCTTCCTCAGGCAACTCCACCGTGTTCCCCTTTTTTTGTGACCAAATGTTTTTTTAAATTTAATTTAACATATGCATGGTAACACAGACAAAATACAACAGTTAAGACAAAAACAAAACATCCACCCCACCCTCACAGGACCTTGTTTTCAGGAAATATCACAAATTGCAGATCATAACAATTCTCTTTTTTTAACAACAGAAATTAATAACTCAACATTTGCCTCTTTAGCACCATGCATGCGGGACACAGAAAGATCCAGCTTGCAATGTTCATAAATGAAAGCACACATTGACGCCTTGGCAGAGAGTGAAGCTCCTGCCAAAGTAAAGCAATAAGCTTTTGCGGTGCTGTAAGTCCAGCAAGACATATTCGCTTTTCACAAACAGTAAGAGCCATGGAAGAACAATGATTGACAGTAGTGTTGTTGGTGAAAAGGGAATATTTTTTTGCAACAATGGTGGATAGACATCGAAACCTGATTCCAAAATGAGGAGACCTCTATGCAAAAAAGTGACTTGGGCACCATGGGGGCAGAGCAAACAATTTGGAATGGGAATTATTTTCATTTGAAATATTTTACGGGGTGTGGTGTATAGTCGATGTATGAAATCAAAATAGGTCATCTGATGATTGTGATTTCTTGATGATAGTGAGATGTTGGAACAGACCGAGCACCAGTTGATGCCAGTCTGGTAAGGATAGATCCCTACACCATTGTGTGTTAAGGGATAGAGGTTTATTTGTGGCTGTCAGAAGGTATGTATATCATTTATAGACTAAGGCCGGGATTCAATCCGATCAGCGGTAGAGCTGTGTTATAGCACGCTTGACATTTAAAGGTAGGCCTAATTTCAGATTGAGCCGACGTATGCAGCGTTTACCGTGAACCCAGGAACATTGCCTTTAAAAGGTGCAAAGCTGACAAAGCGAGATCGGATTGAATCCAATGAGCATAGTTTTGTTTTTTACAGGATTCGTAGTTAGCTCTGTTCCCCATGGAACACCATAAGCCCGGAGCGCTGCCCATAGCTGCAAATAAAACCAAAAAGAGGTCCTTGGTAAATTATATTGACATTGTACCCACCGTGTTCCCCTGTACGCGCGGCTGCGCGCAAAAAAACACATACGCACACACATAAATGCCTCAATTACCTGCAGGAAATTACTGAATGTTTCTTTAAAGGCTAAACACTACAAGGTATCATCTAAACTGTCCCAGAATGGCTCAATTAAGATTAACAACCAGACTTTCCCATTGAAATACTGATTATGATGCTCCGTCCCCATCAACAAAATTACGAGAATAGATCAAAGCTGAATATTTGATACTGAGACATCCGAGGGAGGACTTACCACCATCTGGTAAATGGCATCCACAATATTCAACATCTCATCCCGAGTTATGTAACCGTCGTTATCCAGGTCGTAAAGCTTGAAGGCCCCTGCAAAAGCCATGAAAACAGCACACAGAGAAAACTTTTTATATATTCCTTAGGACTGCTAATATATACAGAAAGGTGACACTTAATTTCACTTCGATTGAAATGCATCCTAACACCTCTCGAACTGTTAGCCAATTAATGCATCAACAACTGTCAGCAGTGGATCAACTCCTGCTAAAGACCTGAGGCATGCAGGGGTGTTTGTGTGTGTGTGTGACAGTGAGGGAGGATCTGCATGCATGTGTGAAAAAGTGTCAGTATAGCTCGACATTCTGCATACATAGCGTTTATTCCTGTTATCCCTGCTGTTCAGGTACAACGACAGCTGTGACCACATACAGGTGTCTGGGAAGGTTAGAGAGCACCTTGGTGATGCAGATCCAGCATGGCTAGGTCAAAGGTTGGAAATGGTAGTACAAGGCAGTGAGAGAACAGGACAGGGAGGAGGGAGAGAGAGAAAGAGGGAATTGGTGTGTCATTTTTAATGCTGTGACCGACTGGGTTTGAACCCGGGTCGACTGCACGCCACAAGACTGTGCTAGCCTGCTGAGCTAAAGCTTAGGCCCTAGGATATTTTCTCCAGGCTTACATCTGAGCTTCTCATCCAGGGTCCCTCTGGAGGTGACTGACAGGGCCTGGATGAACTCTGCAAACTCAATACGTCCATCCTGCAGAGAAACAGAAGGAGAGAGGGAGATGTAAGTACAAGAGAATGAACAAAAGGAAGGAAAGAGAGTGAAGGGAAGAAGTAGAGCACAGGGAAGTAGGGGAGCTATTTTCTCCACTGAAGAGTGACAGAGACCAACCATTCAATCTAATCTCACAAATGGCTCTAGGAAAGATAACAGACAAAAAAACGAGTCTGGCTTCTCAATGGAAATGACTGCAGACAGCGAGGACACTCAATGCAAGCAAAAAAACAATTAAAGCCATTTAGCAAACGCTTTTATCCAAAGAAACTTACAGTCTTGCTTGCATACAGCTTTTGTGTATGGGTGGTCCCGGGAATCAAACCCATAGTGCAAGTGGCATGCTCAACCAACTGCGCTACAGAGGACCAGTACATTAGCCATGACATACAGTGAGGGAAAAAAAGTATTTGATCTCCTGCTGATTTTGTACGTTTGCCACCTGACAAAGAAATGATCAGTCTATAATTTTAATGTTAGGTTTATTTGAACAGTGAGAGACAGAATAACAACAAATAACTCAAGAAAAACACGTCAAAAATGTTATAAATTGATTTGCATTTTAATGAGGGAAATAAGTATTTGACCCCCTCTCAATCAGAAAAATTTCTGGCTCCCAGATGTCTTTTATACAGGCAAAGAGCTGAGATTAGGAGCACACTCTTAAAGGGAGTGCTCCTAAACTCAGTTTGTTACCTGTATAAAAGATACCTCTCCACAGAAGCAATCAATCAATCAGATTCCAAACTCTCCACCATGGCCAAGACCAAAGAGCTCTCCAAGGATGTCAGGGTCAAGATTGTAGACCTACACAAGGCTGGAATGGGCTACAAGACCATCGCCAAGCAGCTTGGCGAGAAGGTGACAACAGTTGGTGTGATTATTCGCAAATGGAAGAAACACAAAAGAACTGTCAATCTCCCTCGGCCTGGAGCTCCATGCAAGATCTCACCTTGTGGAGTTGCAATGATCATGAGAACGGTGAGGAATCAGCCCAGAACTACACAGGAGGATCTTGTCAATGATATCAAGGCACCTGGGACCATAGACACCAAGAAAATAATTGGTAACACACTATGCCGTGAAGGACTGAAATCCTGCAGCGCCCGCAAGGTCCCCCTGCTCAAGAAAGCACATATACAGGCACGTCTGAAGTTTGCCAATGAACATCTGAATGATTCAGAGGAGAACTGGGTAAAAGTGTTGTGGTTAGATGAGACCAAAATCGAGCTCTTTGGCATCAACTCAACTCGCCGTGTTTGGAGGAGGAGGAATGCTGCCTATGACCCCAAGAACACCATCCCCACCGTCAAACATGGAGGTGGAAACATTATGCTTTGGGGGTGTTTTTCTGCTAAGGGGACAGGACAACTTCACCGCATCAAAGGGACGATGGACGGGGCCATATACCATCAAATCTTGGGTGAGAACCTCCTTCCCTCAGCCAGGGCATTGAAATGGGTCGTGGATGGGTATTCCAGCATGACAATGACCCAAAACACACGGCCAAGGCAACAAAGGAGTGGCTCAAGAAGAAGCACATTAAGGTCCTGGAGTGGCCTAGCCAGTCTCCAGACCTTAATCCCATAGAAAATCTGTGGAGCGAGCTGAAGGTTTGAGTTGCCAAACGTCAGGCTCGAAACCTTAATGACTTGGAGAAGATCTGCAAAGAGGAGTGGGACAAAATCCCTCCTGAGATGTGTGCAAACCTGGTGGCCAACTACAAGAAATGTCTGACCTCTGTGATTGCCAACAAGGGTTTTGCCACCAAGTACTAAGTCATGTTTTGCAGAGGGGTCAAATACGTATTTCCCTCATTAAAATGCAAATCAATTTATAACATTTTTGACATGCGTTTTTCTGGATTTTTTTGTTGTTATTCTGGCTCTCACTGTTAAAATAAACCTACCATTAAAATTATAGACTGATCATGTCTTTGTCAGTTGGCAAACGTACAAAATCAGCAGGGGAACAAATACTTTTTTCCCTCACTGTAACCATTTCAGTTATGCAATGGAACCCAATCCAAGCATTTGATAAGGGATGTTAAGTGATGTCCTTTCATACACTAAGCCAGTAAGGTTGTTAATTGGTTTACTGTTGTCCTGGCTTCTAAGAATATAAAATGAACATAAATGCATTCCGCAGGCAGCCTGTTACCTTGTTCTCGTCAAACACATTGAAGACGAAGCTGGCGAACTTGGTGGGGTCACCAAAGGGGAAGAATTGCTTGTAAATCTTCTGGAAGCCAGCTGAATCCAACTGACCACTAGGACAGTCCTTAATAAAACCCTTATACCTGGGGGTGGATGGAGGGAGGAATGGGGAAAGGAAGGAGAGGGGGATGCCCAGGAAGAGGGGAGGGAGGAGAGAAAACAGGTGAGGTGAATCGATGAATGGAACAATTACTGCATTCAGTGTGACTGATGAAACTCATTCCCAAAGTAAGGCTCCCTAAGGCCTGCTGGAAAGATCTGATAATGAATGTCCTGCTATCAAGTAACACACTGATAAGAGCTGTGTCTGCTTGGAAGGAGGCATAATAAATACATCAAATATTTGATATTTTGAATTTTTCTGAAATAAACTACGAAGAAATATTTAAAAGAAAAGAAGCAAAGAAATACTGTATATAATAATAAATAAATAAATACTGAGCTATATTGTATGCTCAAAAAAGTTGGGAAATGATATTATTTAATACTAATACAATTGCTCAGAGAAATAGATTTTGTTTAATAAGTATAAAAACTATTCTCAAAAATTATTAGCACCCCTTTTGTATTTTTCGATCTTGTCTCATCGCTGCAACTCCCCAACGGGCTCAGGAGAGGCGAAGGTCAAGTCATGCGTCCTCCAAAACATCACCCGCCAAACCTTCTTAACACCCGCCCGCTTAACCCGGAAGCCAGCTGCACCAATGTGGCGGAGGAAACACTGACGACCGAGTCAGCCTGCAGGCGTCCGGCCCGTCACAAGGAGTCGCTAGAGCGCGATGAGTCAAGTTAAGGCCCCCGGCCAAACCCTCCCCTAACCCGGACGACGCTGGGCCAATTGTGCGCCGCCCTATGGGACTCCCGGTCACGACACAGCCTGGGATCAAACCTGGGTCTGTAGTGACACCTCAAGCACTGCGATGCAGGGCCTTAGACTGCTGCGCCACTCGGGAGGCCTGCACCCCTTTTTTCAATACTCTAGCATGATACTGAGCCTTTTTCTAAAATGTTTTATCAGTTTGGAGAACACGTTAGGAGGGATCTTAGACCATTCCTCCATACAGAATATTTTCAGATCCTTGATATCGTTTGTTTGTTCTTATGGACTGCCCTCTTCAATTCAAACCACAGGTTTTCAATGGGGTTCAAGTCCGGAGACTGAGATTGCCATTGCAAAATGCTGATTTTGTGGTAAATTAACCATTTCTTTGTGGATTTTGATTGGTGCTTGTGGTTATTATCTTGCTGGTAGAGCCACTTGTGGCCAAGTTTCAGCCTCCTGGCAGAGGCAACCAGGGTTTTGGCTAAAATGTCCTGGCACTTGGTAAAGTTCATGATGCCGTTGACCTTAACAAGGGCCCCAGGACCAGTGGAAGCAAAATAGCCCCATAACATCAAAGATCCACCACCATATTTTAACTGTAGGTATGAGGTACTTTTCTGCATACGCTTCTATTTTTCTACGCCAAACCCACCACTGGCGTGGAGCTCTATTTTCATGTCACCATAGCACCGGTTCCAAGCCAAGTGCCAATGCCGTTTATCAAACTCCAGGCACTCTTACCTTACTGCTACTCAAACAAAACTACACCAAGCCTTGAGAAAGACCACAGAGTTTTTCATCCAAAGCCTTTCAGTTTACCCACACTGTTCAGTTTTCTTTGACTTTCACACACTGTATCTGTATCTGAACAAGGAAGAGATGAGGGACTGATACTGTGCTCCCACACAAGGATGTGAGCTGTAGGCTCACTAGTGGATGACAGCGACAGCCCCCGTTTTATTACCGCTTGATGTGTTGTTTGCCTACTCGGCAGACAGAACAATCCCCTGGCATTGTGATTTGAAATCGCTCGCTCGCCTCTATTCATGTCAGCTAGCTAGCACTGTGAACGCTGTGGGGGAGAATCTTCACAGCACGGGGTGATGCAAAATCACTTAAAAGAACACAAGCGAGGCAGAGGGATCGGCAGGGTATTGTGGTTGGTGGCGGGCGGAGAAGTTTGTGTGTGTGTGTGTGTTGTCTTTCCAATGGCTTCCTCTCACAGTGTGATCTTTGAGCTGTGATAGAAGCTCTCGTAGGCCTTTTTGCAGCTATAGAGAGAGACAAACACATTTCAGTCTAGCCCAACTCACAAAGGTATAACTGGGGTCAGGGGCATGACTAGGTACTGGGGACAGGGGCATGACAGGGGCATGACTTGGGCATGACTGGGGACATGGGCATGACAGAGGCATGAGTGGGGACTGGGGAGCGGATCAGAGTAAGCTTTAAGGCATTTGCTGTAAACTTTTCAGTATGCGCTTTGCAGCATTTTCTGTCATTTTCTGTCTCGCCTTCTCCTTCAGACTTTTCTTCCTCCTTTGAGTCTACATGTCATTTCATTCAGTAACATGTCTCTCCACGGTTCTTAATAAGTTTTTTATCAGAGTGGGCACTCGGCCCAGTGTCAACAGCTCTCCATCTGTGGTGTGTACGGGGCGCCACAAGAGAGTAAGCCACGGAACTTGGCACAAGCAGCAAAGTATTTGGAAATCAGAAATAGTCTTGCACTGGTCTGGGTCTGAGGTGATTTGTTGTGACAGAAACGTCCTTTGTTTCAATTGGCTATGTCGAACATAAATGTTTAGCTGCTTTTGCGACACCACATCTCTTGTGTTCTGCTCTTGCGGCCAGCTTCAACGCATTGTAGGTGTCTGTAAACTTCACTCAATCCTCACTGATATTTTTACATATTTAAGTTGTCGTATGTCCAATCGTGCATGTTTTACTTTTCATAAAAACAGTGAGTTCTGCCTAAATATAATAATGAGGCTGACGACCGGCAAAACGGGTAACCAATCGGAAGCCTCACCATAATTTAGCTGAAATGGAAAGGGGTGACATTTAGAAAAACATTGGCAGTGTATCAAAGCTGTCCTCAACATCAGGACACGGGACTACCTTCGTAACCCCAGAGACTAGCCAGAGGTTATAATGACTATGAGGAGATAACAACAGGGTTGTGGTACACAGCTACCACGGCAGCAGCTTGTCAGGGTGTGGCCCTCTGGCTACAGGATGAGGGCCAGGCGGGTCTAGCGAGGTTATGTCTGCAGCTGCCCCGACTGGTGGCGGTGCCAGCAAAGCCTCAGGCAGGAGAGAGCTGTGCCACTGGGCTCTGTTGTGGTACCTGGCCCACGTACATATGTGTGTGGCCTGACACCTCAGCCAACACACTGAGTCTGGGCACAGAGCCCGGCCAGCCCACCACCATACGTCAGAGGACAGCCAATGATGGATTGTTTTCATCAAGCCCTTCTTACTAGGTTTCACAGTGTTTTCCACCCCCACTATATAGGGATAGAAGTCAACCCATCCAACGCCAAATTGGGTGAAACAAGACAGCCATTTTGTGACCGAGCGCTCACCACACATCATAGTGGAGGAGAAAGCAGTGATTTAGCTTATTTGAGGCATGGGATAATTATAGGACAATGATACTACATTACTGTGAAGGGCCAGGTATGACATTTAGAAAGGACACCCATTCTTTTGCGATGTCACAGGATCTTTACCAACCACCTCAATTTAACGTTTCATTCAAAGGACGGTGTCTGTCCAAATTCAACTCAAGAGGCATCAGCTACAGTACTTTGAAAGCTGTAAAGCCTTACAAAGTGCCTTCTATTTCAAGATGTGGTTATGAAAACCCAGTGATGCATTGGGTGTCCATGGCAACGAAGGCTGAACAGGACGGTTGCTGTAACATAAACACTGTAGGAGTCTGCTGAAAGTTTTAGCGTTCCACAAATATGGTCGATGCAAAATCGACAGAACAGAGTGCCATTGCGTTCTGGTGCCGACTATAATGCACCTACAGCTGTTGTGCCCTTGAGCAAGGCACTTAACCCCTAACCTGCTCCAGGGGTGCAGTGCAGCTCTGCGGCTGAACCTGCAGTTCTCACAGCTGTATTGCATTGTTGTTGACTGACTGTACACAAGTATAATGCAGAATTTGCTAAATGAGGTTGACTTAATTGTTAGCTGTGACAATTTATTTTATTTTTTTACCTTTATTTAACTAGGCAAGTCAGTTAAGAACAAATTCTTATTTACAATGATGGCCTACACCGGCCGACGCTGGGCCAATTGTGCGCCGCCCTATGGGACTGCCAATCACGGCCGGTTGTGATACAGCCTGGAATCGAACCAGGGGGTCTGTAGTGACGCCTCAAGCACTGAGATGCAGTGCCTTAGACCGCTGCGCCACTCGGGAGCCCAATGAGAGAAACTTACCATTGTTGTACCTCTTTTTCAGTGACTGCAGACAGAAAACAGAGAAAAGGAGATTGTTAGAAGAATAAAAACTTGACAAAAAGACAACACACAAGACAGACATTGATCACTTTGTTATTATGTATTTACAGGGAGAGGCTGTTACATCTGAGGTAACATTAGGTTTACATGGTTGTTAATGGACCACATCTAACAATGTTGATTAGTGCAGTTGACTATGCTAATCTGTACCAGCCCTAGTTTCCAACAGTATTGACTGCTTCATATGTTATTCAGTCGCTGAAATAACTTACATCTCCTGGGAGTGAAATGCTATGTGTAGTCCTGCTCATCTTAATAATTTAAAGATAATATGTATATACATACAAAAGCCTAAATAAAAGGTAGAGAGTATGAATAATGAAACCCCTCTATGGAGTGATTTTAGTGCCAACAGAAAGTATATTTCTTAACACAAATTCAAAATGAAGAAATTCAGATTCGATTTCTGGTGCAACTAATATAACTCCATACGTCTCTATGCCATCCTGGTTTACCATAGCTGTGTTTCCCCCCTATATTGTGCGTAAACAGCCAACCAGAGCTGAGCTGTACTGCCCCGGCCTGGTTACACATCCACCATAGTTGCTGACACTGTACTGGAAAGGACCACGTGAAAATAAAATGTGCAGGTCTGTGTAGCTGGCGGGTTAACTACTACCATCGTCAGACCTAGAACTACAGATGTCGGATCTTAATTTGACCCCTTTCGTCGCAGAAGGAAAATAATCCTGCAGCAGGAGGATTTCAATATCTGAATAAATATTTAGAATGGCCACCAGGGGGCAGCTGGAAGCGGTGTTTGTATACACAGTGCAGTACCATACTTACATTGTACCTTGTGCCGGCTACAGAACGTCTCATGTGAATTCTTATGTGGATTATAATAAATTGACATACACTACATGGCCAAAAGAACCTCTCATTCCAAAATCATGGGCATTAATATGGAGTTGGTCCCCCCTTTGCTGCTATAACACCCTCCACTCTTCTGGGAAGGTTTTCCACTAGATGTTGGAACATTGTGCTTGCTAGAGCATTGTGAACTGCTGTAGCGCAGTGGTCGAAGCAGCGCGCTTCGGGCGCAGAGCCTCAGGAGTTTGCGCCCTGTGCTGGGCGATGTAGTGACCAGCCTGAGCCTACAGTAGGCCCACAAGTTAATTGCATATATTTCAATGTTTTCATGATAATTTACATATCAAAGAAAAGTGTCTCAGCTCAATTACCTGGATAGGCTCAAATGCATAAACATCTTGTCAGCTTTACGAAATGAAATATTAAAGCCACACCAAAGACCAGAACTAAATTGAGAAATTATACATAGCCTAACTATAAAACGTAGACGAGCATCCACTCTGGAAGAAAGTTTATCGTTCTACAGTAGGCGGGCCTACATCTGTCAATCAACTGATGGCCCAAATCAACTCAGCCAGGGAAACAAACAGTAGCCGATTATCGGTTTTCACACCTTTCATGATGTCACAATGGATAGGCTAACTGGTAGCCTACAGAATGTAGCCTATTGGAATATAATCAAATAACAAGGGGCCTATTGCAACCATCGATGGCACTAAGATTATCACTAGCTGATGTCTTGTTAAACCATCAATACTCGCTAAATTAACCCGCACAGCTGATCTCAATTGCAACCATTATTGGTCACCTCATTACCACTCCCTAAAAGATGATGTCTGTGTTACCTTAATCCTGGTGGCAACCAAAATCCAAATCAAATCAAAGTTTATTGGTCGCGTACACAGATTTGCAGATGTTGACAAGCATTCCGTACAATACAAATAAAGGATTTAATTGTTTACCATTGGAAATCTACTGTGTTAATTTACTCGACACTTTGTATGAATGGAAACTAATGTTGATGTAGTCTATTGTTATTATTTGATTTGTTTCCTATTTATTTTATCCAAAGTGTCTGATATGGTTATTTCTTATCAAGATCCATAAAATATCCCAGGACTGTCCATATTTGAAATGTGGAAATAAATCTAGTCAAGCAGGGGATTGAGTTATTTGTGCCAGACAGGTGTGGGCCGGAATCGGACCCACGCCGACACGGTAGACCTATATGTGACACGGTAGACCTATATGTGACACGGTAGGCCTATATGTGACATGGTAGGCCTATATGTGACACGGTAGACCTATATGTGACACAGTAGACCTATATGTGACACGGTAGGCCTATATGTGACACGGTAGACCTATATGTGACACGGTAGGCCTATATGTGACATGGTAGGCCTATATGTGACATGGTAGGCCTATATGTGACACGGTAGGCCTATATGTGACACGGTAGACCTATATGTGACACGGTAGGCCTATATGTGATACGGTAGGCCTATATGTGACACGGTAGGCCTATATGTGACACGGTAGACCTATATGTGACACGGTAGACCTATATGTGACACGGTAGACCTATATGTGACACGGTAGGCCTATATGTGACACGGTAGGCCTATATGTGACACGGTAGACCTATATGTGACACGGTAGACCTATATGTGACACGGGGGGGCGGGGAGCAGGGGAGAGTGGGGGATAGCAGGGGGTTAGGAGAGCAGGGTAGAGTGGTCAAAGGAGCGTAGCCATTATTAGTCAGTGGAGTTAATCCATGCAAGGAGTGGGAGAGAGTGTGGGAGAGAGAGAGATGAAAGGAGTAATGATCCATGTCAGTGACGCCTAAAAAGCCGGTGACGTAGACCTCCGGAACTGGTGAACGGAATGAGCAGCAGTACCGGGGGGATCCGTAACACTTACAGTCAACTAATAGTAAAGCTGATTAAGAAAGTTACATTCCAAGAAAGAACATCAATACATCATAAATGTTAACACCATGTGCACTGTTAACAAGTGCATATTCTGTTACAGCTCTGTTATTACTCCTGATATCTGCATGCACCAGTTTAGTGCATGCTGTCACAACCATTCCAAGCAATTGCATTTATCAGGAGTCAACTGCATTTGTTAAAACCTAGGTATGTTCTGATAAACTATAATTTTTCTTATGAGTTCCTGACAAATGGCCAATCAACAGCACCACGAGTCCACGACTTCAACTCAACCATCTTCCAACGTTAGAATGAGCTCTATGCTCAGACTCCAGCTACGGGGCCTTTTGAACCAAATCCCATTTCCTCTGAGTGTCCATGAGAAAGTCGGCCATTAAAAATGACAGTGAATACGGTGAGCATTGCCAGAGAGAATGACATGGCTCTATTAGGCGCTTGTTTCTAAGGCTAAGGGGGCAAAGGTGACATCACAGTAGAGATGGGGACCAATGATGTGATTTGTGGTTAGTACAAGCGCAGCGTTAGTATACGTCCAGTACATTGGTTCTATTTGGATGCGCTTGCACACTCTGCATGGGCCTCCATCACCATTCTGTTGACAGCAAAGGCAGCTTAGGGATGAAATCAACTTAATGGGCTGCCTCTGTTCTTCAGAAAGAGACTGATGCTATGCAAACTGGCATCTGAGTGTTTAAAACTCAAGAGAGATATTGAGACAGCACTTGAGCTAATAGTGGATCAAGAACAGTTGAGCAGGAACTTAATTGCCCCCTCCCCAAAAAAACATATACCCAGAAAAGACTGTCGTTGGATACACTACAGTTCAAATGTGAACATTTCTGACATGATGTCATTGAGATGCGAGACGGTCTACCTTAAAATAACAGAGCTCTCCATACTCCCTAATCTCCTTTACTCAGTCGTACAGGTGGAAGAAAAAAACACCCAACTTCATTCAATCAAATCTACTACCTTGGGTCCGGAAAATAAAAACCTCATGTTGTGGGCTCACGGAAGCAATTCATCTCCATGGAAACCACAGAACAGATGCATATCAGCAGGAACAAAGGTAAAGCTGCAGTAGACAATAGGGAATATTCTGATTTTGAGTGAGTGCAGAACGTATATGAGTGAGAGAGTATTAAAAATGAGTTATTAGCCAACAATTGGTGGCAGTGGTGGGATGTTATGCTGTTGTTCAACAAAACTCCCTGTTTATGGTCAAGGTATACGTCACGCTCCATGCCAGATAAGCCGATCGATCTGGGCCAGGCTTAGGTTCAATTTCTATGCAGATAGGTAGGTAGTACACTCTTAGAAAAAAGGGTTCCAAAAGGGTTCTTCGGCTGTTCCCATAGGAGAACCCTTTCTGGTTCCAGGTAGAACCCTTTTGGGTTCCATGTAGAACCCTCTGTAGAAAGGATTCTACATGGAACCCAAAAGGGTTCTACCTGGAACCAAAAGGATTCTACCTGCAACCAAAAAGGGTTATCCTATGGGGACAGCCAAATAACCCTTTTAAGGTTCTAGATAGCACAAAAACAATTCTAAGAGTGTAGGAGGAGGGGGAGGAGGGGAGGGGGAGAGTAGGGGGAGGGGGAGGACAGTAGGGGAGGAGGGAGGGGAGGGGAGGAGGGAGAGGGGGAGAGGAGAGGACGTAGGGAGAGGAGGAGGAGAGTAGGGGAGGAGGAGGAGAGGGGAGGAGGAGGAGCGGGTAGGAGGAGGAGCAAGGGGGGAGGAGGAGGACAGAGGGAGAGGAGGAGGACAGTAGGGAGAGGAGGAGGAGAGGAGAGGGGAGGAGAGAGGGGGAGGAGAGGGAGGACAGTAGGAGAGGAGGAGGAGAGCAGGGGGAGGAGGAGGGAGACAGGGGTAGGAGGAGGAAGAGGGGTAGGAGGAGGAGAGCAGGGGAGGAGGAGGAGGAGAGCATGGGTAGGAGGAGGAGAGCAGGGGGAGGAGGAGGACAGTAGGGAGAGGAGGAGGAGAGCAGGGGGAGGAGGAGGAGAGCAGGGGAGTAGGAGGAGGGGAGAGCAGGGGGAGGAGGAGGAGAGCAGGGGGAAACAAAGAGAGAGGGAGGCTTTAAAAGGAGAAAGGATAGGGAGTGAGCCTCTCCAAGCGAAGGGCAGAGCAACAAGCAATCAGAAGAGACAAGCTGTGCTGAAAAGAAGAGGACAAAGTGGAAGAGAAGAAGAGAGAGGAAGCAACAAGAGAAGAAGGGAGAGGAAGCAACAAGAGAAGAAGAGAGAGGAAGCAACAAGAGAAGAAGAGAGAGGAAGCAACAAGAGAAGAAGAGAGAGGAAGCAACAAGAGAAGAAGAGAGAGGAAGCAACAAGAGAAGAAGAGAGAGGAAGCAACAAGAGAAGAAGAGAGAGGAAGCAACAAGAGAAGAATAGAGAGGAAGCAACAAGAGAAGAAGGGAGAGGAAGCAACAAGAGAGAGGCAGAATGAGAGACAAAGGGAAGAACAAAGGAAGAGCTAGATGGAAAGGAATGGAGAGAAGGGGAGTGAGAAGCAGAAGGAGAGAGGAATAGATCTAGAACGTGCATAGTGCAGAGCTATCGAGAGATGGGCAATTGGAGCTTTGTGGATGAGTGTGTGCATGGTATAGTGAGTTTGAGTGTTGCTTGTGCTGATGGATTGAGGCAATATGATCCTTTCAGCCAGTGTGTATGACTGTTCGTGTGCTGTATGGAGAGAGTGTGTGTACTCTGTGTGTGTGTGTGTGTGTGTGTGTGTGTGTGGGCGTGTTGAGCTATGCCAAAGAGAACCTAATTATACCATTCCATTTCTCAAGGAAAAACAATTACAGGGCAGAAAACAGGAGAAGCTTGCATAATCTGACAACAGCAAGATCATGCAAGACTGTAAAAAAGGGCTTTTATAAATACATTTGATTGATTGATTGACTGATTTCAACCAGTCAACCAACTTAATCAGCTAACTCAGAACCCATTTACACCAGCCCCCTAGCTTATCACCAGTAACCCTGCACATTGATTTGGTGCTGACCCTGCATATAGCGTACGTTCTTGTGTAGTCTTATTTCAAGTTTGGGAAACCCTGGACTAAATGACCTCGGTGAGAGATGTGTAGCAAACAAAAGCTGGTTTCTCATCATTCCCTTTTGCATGCACATCACTTTCCTCCTCAGGACTGAAGACTTCCATGACAAATTCACTTTCCAGAGTATATGAGTGCCATCTTAAGTGCTTCTACAGCATATCCCTCATCATATCACTATCACCCTGCATTAAAATTTAAACATTGACTGTGGGGAATGCTGATTGCTGAGGCAATGAGACTAAATGGAAGTGATCTCCCTGCGATGAAGTCGCATTCAGAACCGAAGAGTGATGTCTCAACCGCACCCTCTCCCCGACAGCACTTTAGGTTGGCACACATACTCCTATAATAAGGAAACGCTCCCTGAGACCCAGTGTGAGAGCACGAAATTAGCCCCTGTGACACGCTCGCTTCCATTCTCAATGGGGGGCGTCTTCATCCAGACACACATCCACATATAAACACACACACACACACTCATTAGTTCACACGCTATGCTTCACCATGAGGAATGTCTCTTGCCATCACACACACACAAACACATGAACATCTTCTGCTTATTTCTGTGAAATCTCTTCTGAATTCTAACTAGCTAACAAACTATCAAGGCTGAGCAGAGAAGCTTAAAGATGCACTATGCGAAAATTGCTCCGCCATTTCCTGGTTGTAAAAAATGAGTATAGTTCGCTTAATTTAGAGAATCATTGTACCATCTACACTGCTGTGAAATATCATTTCCATAACCCAAAATATTGTATTTTCAGCTGTTTGAAGCTGGTGTACAAAACCGAATGTAAAAGCATAAATGAAACTTAATAACGGGAAGGATAGAAATAGCGCACATAGAACAGATATACCGCTTCTTATACTTGCTTTCGATGAGAATGACAGGTCTATAACACATATTTCTATGTGAATATGGAAAAGTTATATATTGCAGCTTTAATATCTAACACTACCAGCAGGATATATACTGTACATCAGTAATTGTCTGGTAATAAATGTCAACTCCAACAACGATCCTTACCGCACATATAAGGTAACATATTACTATTGTCAGGTGAAATTGTTGCATACAGCACCTTTAAAGTTGCACTATGCAGAGATCGCGCTGCCATTTCCTGGTTGCTAAAATTAGAATAGTTAGCCTAATTTCAGTTTATGTGACAAAGAAGCAAGTATAGTGTAGAGAATCATTGTATCTAAACCGCTGTGAAATATCTCTTCAATAACGGGAAGCATAGAAATAGCGCAGGTAGGCCAGATGTACCGCTTCTTAGACTTGCTTTCAATGAGAATGACAGATCTATAACACACATTTCTGAATGAATTTGGTCAGGTCGCCCAAAAAGTTACATATTGCAGCTTTAAATATCGTATTTTTTCAGAAGATACAAAAGAAGGTAGCTTTTGAGAATTTCAACCATCTCAATGAGTGTTCTTGACCAGAGAAACAGTGAGACATAACATACATTGCGGGGGTGGCTTTATCGTCATCCGCAAGAGTTTATCTTTACTCCGTGGGGGTGCTCCTTGAGGTCTGGTTCAACCTTTGACCCCTCAAAAGGTCAGAGTTTATCTCTGTTAGTATGGTGGTGAGTGATAATCAGTCACATAGGCTACTGTAGGTGATAGCATTTCGCTGACACCATGTAGACGTATTGCCTGTAACGGTTTCTCAAAAGGACAGATACAGCTATTTAGTTATTGCTTTACTTGATTACATTTTAGCCTACTCTGATTTAGTGCAACATATTATTTGGTCGACATTGTTCTGGAGCATGGCTTCACCAGAAGTATTGCATCAAGCGCTAAACGGATTTCGAGTGACTACTCAGTCTCTAACGTGCATTAGCACTCCTGAGGGAAAGCCATTCAATCTGAGAGGAAGATTTACAATGGTTGCTCTGTCCATGTCTTCAAACCCCATTGCCAAATGGCTATCACCTTCCCGCATTCCAAAGGCTGTACAACCAATTTACAACAGTGTAATACACTGAAATACTTTTCAGATATTCAATATATATGATTTCAATAAGTCTCTCTTCAGTTGGGGTATTTGAGATTTGCTCGTTAACAACCTAATGTCCAACTGCATTGTTGGTTAAGGGCTGTAAGTAAGCATTTCACGGTAAGGTCTACACCTGTTGTATTCGGCGCATGTGACAAATACAATTTGATTTGATTTGGTAGGAGTAGCTGAAAAGCTTACATAGCAAAGGAAAGTCGCATAATTGTCTCCCACCATAGGATCGCCATTACAAATGTGTCTTTCTCTATGCCATTTTGGGCCCACACAGCTCTCTTCAGCTCTTCTATTTACTTGGCTTTTGCATACAATGAATCACTATCCAAGACTTGGACAAAGCACCTTACCTGGTGATCACATGGCTGTCTCTCAACAACAGAGTGCTGATAGCCTGCTTTAAAGTCGAGGATCGCAACCAACGGGTAAGTTATGTCATTTTACCTAAGGCTCTATTGTAAAATGCTAGATTCATTTCAAGGCATCCTCTTCTGTAGCAACAGATATATTCAATACAATCAAATGTTAATGATTTTTAGAAGTGGGCCATCAAAGACAGCACATAACAGAGGCTGTTGGAGAGGGAATAAGAAAGTATAAAAAGATAAGTGTTAAAAAAGAGGAAAAATTGGTTTGTTATATCAAGACACAGACCAGTGGAAAATGAATAGAAAGGAAGGGAATAAAACATATATGAAAATAGTCTCTAAAGACATAGAAAGAGGGTACTGTACTTACAGTAGGTTTTCCTAGTCAGCTCCTCCACCACCTCAGGCTTTAGTTTGCTGTTGGACTTCCCCATAGCTCAAGCATATGCCTTTAAGCCTTTCTCCACGTGCCTTAAAAGACTCCTAGTTCTGACACCTTCATTACCATTTAAAAAATAAATATAATCAAAAAATACTTTTTAAAGTCTTGCTCTTCAGGTAGCAGACAAAAAATGAAGTGGAATTATAGAAAAAATAAAACAGAAAACAAGCAGGAAAAGGCAAAAAATGCGAAAATGCGATGAAAGAGCAGCAGTAGCACTAGTCTCTCCTCTCGGTGTAGCAGGGTGAGTCTGGAGAGAGGAGGGGTGTAGCCTGTAATCCACTGAGCCGTGTCCCTCCTGCTTCCTGCAATCCTGGTTTGCTGCTGCTGCTGGAACACCCTACTGGGAGTAGGGTGGAAGAGAGGCGGGAGTGTGTGAGTGTGTGTGTGTGTGTGTGTGTATACAGTATGTGTGTGTGTGTGGCCAGCCGGGGATGTGTTGATACTGTTGTCCCTGGCAACAGGAGCCACTCCTCCTGCTCTCTCTCTCTCTCAATTCAATTCAATTTCAATTTAAGGGCTTTATTGGCATGGGAAACGTATGTTAACATTGCCAAAGCAAGTGAAGGAGATAGTAAACAAAAGTGAAATAAACAATAAATATTAACAGTAAACATTACACTCAGAAGTTTCAAAAGAATAAAGACATTTCAAATGTCATATTATGTATATATACAGTGTTGTAACAATGTGCAAATAGGAAACAAGTACAAGTGGGAAAATAAATAAACATAAATATGGGTTGTATTTACAATGGTGTTTGTTATTCACTGTTTGCCCTTTTCTTGTGGCAACAGGTCACAAATCTTGCAGCTGTGATGGCACACTGTGGTTTTTCACCCAGTAGATAAGGGAGTTTATCAAAATTGGGTTTGTTTTTTGAATTATTTGTGGATCGCTGTAAGCTGAGGGAAATATGTGTCTCTAATATGGTCATACATTTGGCAGGAGGTTAGGAAGTGCAGCTCAGTTTCCACCTCATTTTGTGGGCAGTGTGCACATAGCCTGTCTTCTCTTGAGAGCCAGGTCTGCCTACGGCGGCCTTTCTCAATAGCAAGGCTATGCTCACTGAGTCTGTACATAGTCAAAGCTTTCCTTAAGTTTGGGTCAGTCACAGTGGTCAGGTATTCTGCCACTGTGTACTCTCTGTTTAGGGCCAAATAGCATTCTAGTTTGCTCAGTTTTTTTGTTTGTTCTTTCCAATGTGTCAAGTAATTCTCTTTTTGTTTTCTCATGATTTGGTTGGGTCTAATTGTGTTGTTGTTGTTGTTGTCCTGGGGCTCTGTGGGGTCTGTTTGTGTTTGTGAACAGAGCCCCAGGACCAGCTTACTTAGGGGACTTTTCTCCAAGTTCATCTCTCTGTAGGTGATGGCTTTGTTATGGAAGGTTTGGGAATCACTTCCTTTTAAGTGGTTATAGAATTTAACGGCTCTTTTCTGTATTTTGATAATTAGCGGGTATTGGCCTAATTTATTGCTGTTTGTTCTCTCTTATAGGGCCAAAAAGATTGGAGAAGTGGTTTACCCATACATCTCCGTTTTGGATAGATAGCTCTTCGTGTTGTTGTTTGTTTAGTGTTTTCCAATTTTCCCAGAAGTGGTTAGAGTCTATGGATTCTTCAATTACATTGAGCTGATTTCTGACTTGCTGTTCCTCTTTTTCCGTAGTGTATTTCTGTATTGTTTTAGTGATTCACCATAGTGAAGGCTCAGGTTTTCTGGGTCTCTATGTTTTTGGTTGGATAGGTTTCTCAATTTATTTCTTAGGTTTTTGCATTCTTTATCAAACCATTTATCACTGTTGTTACTTTTCTTTGGTTTTCTGTTAGAGATTTTAATTTTTTTAGGGGAACTAAGTCAAAAAATTTTTTTTTAACTGGTTTTTAACTTTAAAACATTAAAGTTTGGGTTTTTGGAGTTTCAAAATTAATTTGTTTTTGGCCAGTTTTTTTGGAGGGGTTTTTTTTAAATATTTTATTTTTTCTTTAAAATTTTTTTTGGTTTTTTTCAATTATTTTTCCTTTTTAATCTATTTTCTTTCTATAGGGGTTTTATCTCCCCCTTTGGGCTTTGGGGGGGTCAAGGGGTTAAAAATTACGTCTCTGCCAAGTAGCTTGGATTTGGGTTCCTTTAAATTTAAGTTTGGGCGGAAAACGTTTGGCCCCCTTTTTTTTTGGGGGGTTTTTTTATAAAAAATTAAATTTTTACCCGACCCTGTTTGGGTTTTTCCTTTTTTTTTTTTCCCTGAAGCCCCAACTTGACAGCCCGGGGGGAAAAGCCCCTTCAAAAGGAGTTTTCGTGGACCTTTGGTTTTGTTTTGGGGTTAATTTGTTGTCAAAATTTTGGTTTGTTTTTGCCCCCCTTAAAAGGGGGTTTTAAGGGGGGAAAGGGGAAATTTTTTTTTGGTACCCTTTTTTCCAGGGGTAGGTTTTTTTGTTCCCCCGGGTTTTTGGTGAAGGGGGGTAAAGCTTTTTTTTCCCGGGCTTTTTTGGGGGTTTTTTGGTCGGGCCCCCGAAGTACAAAGGGGCCCCGGGGGGGTCTGGGGGAAAATGGGTTTGATTTTCCTTTTAACCCCTTTTTTAAAAAGGTCCTGTTGAAGTAAATTTTTTGGGGGTTTAGGGGAATAAATTTTTTTTGAATTTCCCAAATTTGTTCCTGTTTTGATTATTTTGGTGGTTTAGGTCGGGGTTTATCCAAAATTGCATACCCTTTGTAACCTGGGCAACCTGGGGGTGTCTCCTTATCCGTTTCTTTTGGGTCTGTTGTTTTTGATTTCTTTGGTGAGGTCCCCCTTTAGGGCCAAAGGAAAAGGAAACCCCGTCCTTGGGACCCCGGGGAAAAAAAGGCGGTTCCTAAATGTAAGTTTTGGGGTTTTGGTTTTGGGCCCAGCCAGAATTGTAGCAGAGCGTGAGGCATCGGTAATCCATTGGCTTGGGCTGTGTAATTTTGGGGGTTTTGGCCTTTCCTGCTGGCCTGGGCGTTGGTGATTTTATTGTTGGGTTTTTAGTGGGGGCTTGGGGGTTTGGGGGGCTAGGGTTTTTACGAGGGGGTAAATGGGGGGTGGGATGGGGTTTACTTGGGGGGATTTGGTGGGGGGGTGTAAGTGGGGGTGGGTGGGGCTATTTAGGGTCCTTCTGCGGGGTCTCTATTGAGGTCCGGGGGGGTCCCCTGTTGGGGGTGTTCGCGGTATGGCGGGGTGTCTGTTCTGTTTTCTCCCCTTTTGGGGTGGGGGGCCGGTTAGGGTGTTCCCTTTAGGGGCCGGCATAGGCAAATTGCCTTTTAGGGGACCTGGTTCCCCTTTTTTCCCCCCCCTCCCGGGTTGTTTTGGGGGAGGTAACATTTTTTTAGCCATCCCCAGGGTCTTGGGTTTTGTGTTGGGGGGTGGATTTTTTCTGTAAAGTTGTTTAAACCCTTGTCTTGGGGAAGTGAAAACTTTTTCTATACTCCTTGCTTTGGGGCCTTTGTTTCCTGTGGTAAATTTTAAAGGGGCTGGGTGATGTCGGTGGATTTAGGGGGGTGGGGGGTTTTGCACCAATTTCCGTTTTTTTGGGAAAAGTTTATTTTCTTGATTATTTTCCCTTTTATTATAAAGGGTCAATCTGTTTTGTATTCCTAGGGTTTCGCAACTACCACAGAGGGGTGTGGGTTTGGGTTCCCCAGGGGGGGGTTTTCTTTGTTTGTTGGGTGTATGCAGCTAAATCAGGGCCAGGGGGATTTCTTTTTCCCGGGGGGGCAGCTCTTTTTTGTTCTTTCCCTTTTCTTCTCCCTTTTCCTCCCCTCTCCCCCTCAGTCCGCTTTCCCGTCCTCCCCCCCGTAAAAAAAAAAAAAAAAAAAAAAAAAAAAAAAAAAAAAAAAAAAAAAATTTTTTTTTTTTTTTTTTTTTTTTTTTTTTTTTTTTTTTTTTTTTTTTTTTTTTTTTTTTTTTTTTTTTTTTTTTTTTTTTTTTTTTTTTTTTAACCCTTTCTTCCCCGGTTTACCCCCACCCCCCCCCCCCTTTTCCCTTAAATTCAGGAAAAGGTTTTTTTTTTTTTCCCGGGGGGTTTTTTTTTTTTTTCTCTCATTTTTTTTTTTTTTTTTTCTTCGCCGCCCCCCCCCTTTTTTTCCCCCCTTTCTTTTTCCCCCCCCCTTTTTTTTTTTTTTTTTTTTTCTTTTTCCTTTTCCCTTTTTTCTTGGGGTAGTGGGTTGGTCAGGGTCTGGGTGTTTCGCTGGCTTCTGGGTGGTGTGGGCCAGCTCTTTAATGGGTTGTTCTATGTCACCTGTCATCGTTCTCACCTTCTCCTCCAGCACTCTGATCCTCTCCTCTAGTGCTCTGTTCTTCTCCTGCTCCTGCTCTTTCTCCTGTTGATGTTGTCTCACCACAGTCCAGAGTGCAGACATGTCTCTCTCTACCTCCAGCTCTCCAGGTCTTGTTAAGGGGGTGTTGTTGTGCTGGACTTTTGTCTGGGTCTGTGCTGACTGGAGTGTGTTCACCTGCTGTTCCAGCTCCACCTGCCTTACCTCCAGCTGGGTGAATTTATCCTTCATTTCAATGAGGGAGTAGTACTCTGTGCTGGGAAGTTGACTTCCTGCTTGGGGTTGCTCTGTGGGGTTATTTAATGAAGAGGTCTGGTCTGACCTGCTCGGGGTGGGGGTATCTTTCTCAAGGGAGAGCTTCTCCTGCTGAGCTATTTCTTTGATTAGGTGAAAGTCCAGCTGGAACTGTTTGGTGCTGCCTTGAACCAAAACGGTTCCAGATTTATAGAGATTAATATTAGACGACTCAGAGTCCTCGTTGTCCAGTATCCTGAGTTTCCACCCATCGCTAAACACCCCCCCTCTTAACAGAGGGGTAGTGTGCTAGTATAGCACTGTGCCATGCCAGGGGATGGTCTGTGTGGAAGATAAGGTTACTTATGTTCCCATTTTTATAAAAATCAGCAAAAAGTATCTCCTGATTCCCCAAAATAAGTTTCATTTTGTACTCTTTTGTACTCTCTCTCTCTCTCTCTCTCTC